CCCAAATCTAGTAATTTAAGTATTATTTCCACAACATGTATTATCATATCCAAGGTCTACCTTTGTTATATTTTGCCTGTGTGCCTCTTGTACTATTGTTTATTTAATATATTTTTCTAAGACACCTTACTTTATTTTTTTATTTTTTATCTTTTTTGAGTTGGAGTCTCACTCTGTCACCCAGACTGAAATGCAGTGGCTGCTCCCGGCTACTGCAGCCTCGACCTGCTGGGCTCTGACGATCCTTCCGCCTCAGCCTTCCAAGTAGCTGGAACTACAGGCGCGCGCTACCACGCCTGGCTAGTTTTTGATTTATTGTAGAGATGAGGGCTCGCCAAGTTGCCCAGGCGGCTCTCGAACCCACGGGCTCAGGCAATCCACTCACCTCGGCCTCCCAAAGCACTGGGATTACAGGATGAGCCACCGAGCCCAGCTTGACACCTTACTTTTAAACATGTTTGTATTTAAAAGAAACTTGATGTCACTGTGGTTGTAAATAAAAAACCAATGTCACTTGCAATAAATTCAAGGTCATCATTAAAATGAATGTGATGAACATAAAACATTCCTGTTAATTCTTTGTTCATGAAAGGCTCTGAGCCTGGGCCCTGCGGTCCCATTATTCTAAAGAGGGATTGTAAGTTTTGGAGAGGAGTTAAATTCAATCTAGCATCAAAGTAAGACTCCTTAAGTGAATTAGGAGGGAGAAAGGGCTTGCCAGGTGAATAGCATTTATACTCCATAAATCAGGGATACCTAGCATGATTCCTGTATGCCATCTTAGATGCTGCAGGGATGTGCATTTACACATGTGGGGAAATATTGTTTCAGGACACCCTGAGGTATTAATATTTGAGTTAATTTTGAGTGACAAAATTAGACTTATTGAAGACAGGTAGCTCAGGACTGGAAAAAGAGACCAAGGGAAGCAGGGAAAACCTTGCAGAGACTGTGGGAGAGGGTCCTGGTATGGCCCAGTCGGTTTGGTAAGTCTGAAGAAGAGGGCCTGGATTTAAGAAGGATTAAGGATAAGGCCACAGCAGGACATGGTGCCTGAGAAACGAAGGGCAGGGGTCAAAGAAAGAGAAGGGTCAAGGATGCCTTGGAGATGAATTCCTTGGGAGACTGCACGAGTAGTGCTGCGGTTATTCAGGCCAGGGTCACCAGCAATAAGTTTATGGAAGAGGAGTAGAATATGGATGTGTAGGTGAAGATGGGAGAGGGAGGAAGTGGGCAAGGGTGGAGACAGATACAGCCCCTGGCTTGGAACATGCTGCCTAGTAGGAATCCATGCAGATGCTAGGCCTGAATTCAGTGCTTGTTGAATAAATAGCTAAGTGTGATGGTCAGCAGACAATTGAAAATAACCTTGCTGAAGCTCAGAGACATTCCAAATGCCAGCTAGATTGAAAGAGATAATTGTGGCCTATAAGTCAGCAACAAATGCATGTCCATTTACTTGCTGACCATTTTAGAAAATTTGTGACATAATCAGGTAGACAGGTTTAAAGCTTATTAGACATGTTTACTTTCTTCAGATGTTAAATATGAACCCATTCAACCAAAAAGTCATTAAGAACCTACTTATGTAAAGCAGTTTTCTGGATGCTTTGAGGGACAGAGAGATAAATTACACTCAGATCCTGTTCTCATGGAGTTTGTAAAGATCTAAAAAAAGATAAAATTTTCAGGGAGTTATATTTTGTTAACATATGAAGAATTTATTCATGATTTCCAGAAAGCAAATTTAGCCTCAAAAATCTTCCTAATAATTATAGTCTGCACTTTTCTTCTTTAATAAGAATGTGGAGTGATAAGATATGGTATGATAAGAAATTCATTATAGTATTGATCTAGAGTAACGATATGAGTGAAATTTTTGGTAGATGTGAAGAAGTGAAAATGAAAATCTTACCAGTCATCAATAGCCCTTTTTCTGTGTTGTTCTTAAAATGTGCATTTGCTTATCTTAAGAGCAATAAACTAATTGAATTTTGAGTTTTGTGTCTAGCATAAAATTGCTGCTCTTATCATCCAAGTATATGATATGGCAATAAATTGGAGCCTTTATGAAAAACTCATTAAATCATCTATTTTTCATGACTTCTTTTTTCTTGACAGTCAACATATAGACAAGAAAGCACAGATCTCACCCCCAACCTAAAAAAGAATCATAGGTTTGAGGAAGTAAAGGGACAACAAGCCTAATTATTGATACTCCTTCTTCAGTTTCTAGACTCTTCTGTGGAAAGAACTGTTTTCATAAGACTCAGACAGAATTCATTTTCATACAGTGTTCTTAATGGCTCCTGTCAGAACAAAACAGCTGGGAAACATATGTTATCCATTTCCCTGTATCACTTGGAAAAAATTTCACATGTAAATAAAACCAACATAAAAGAGTAGCCCTTTGAACCCACGACCTCATATAATAGATAAATATATTGGTACAATGCACTCGTTGTATCAACCTACTAAGTTATGTGGCTTTTAAAATTTTATTACATTCTGAGATGCACATTTTCTAGAAGATCCCAAAAAATAAAGGTAACTGGCAAAATATTAGCAAATATCATACCTAATACTATGTATCTCAGAAATGTCTATAAATATATTTGTTATTGCTGTTTTCTGTTGCTGTTCGTGATAAAAGTTTTTCAGAAAATCAATGAATAAAATTAAGGGCATATTTATATTTTATAAACTCTATGTCCACTATCTCTCTGCTGCTTTGAATAAGTGACCATGTGTTCTTGAAAGAAAGAGAAAAAATCTTGGCAGAAATTTCTGGCAGACATTAATTTTTCATGGCTTTACATTTTTAGAGAGAAAGGACATATAAAAGATAGAAGACTTTTAAATTTATAAAGGACCAACTGGAATTAGTCTTTGCCTTTGCATATTTACATTTCATAAATAACTTGAGAAAATCTAGCTCTTACTGGTGATTATCACTCCTCTGAGTTTATTAACAGGACTTTTTTATCCTGTGAAATTAAACTGTAAATCCCTCAGAAGGATGCACTTTGTGCATTTTAAAAGATTTAATGTGTTGTGCAAAGTGAGATTCAAATTCACATGCTAGCATTTGTTAATTGTCTGCTCTGTGCCAAACACTGTGTAACACTCTAAGACCTAGAGCCAACAAAAGGGAAGAAAAGCAGCATCCTCAGACCATCTAGACACCTTCCTTCCCTTCTGGAACATTCTCTGTTATACATTACTTACTGGAGAGAATCCAGCCCTTCCTCCACAGCTCATAGTACTCTTTTCTTAAATTCTAAAATGCCAGAGCCAGGAAGATCTGAGAGGTGAGCTGCATAGTGCAGACCCTCTGAAACCTCATGCAAAATTGTGGTCATTTTTGGGGAAAGAACTCGCTGACAGTTATATAGCATTTAGGCTCAGAACACTCACTCTCACCCCCTTAGCTTGGTTCCAGAACGACTCTGAATCCTTTTAGAACCAAACCCAGCAGGAAGAAGAAGAGTCAGTGGTTTAAATTTAGGGAAATTTAATAATGTGAATGCCCCTTTCACCCAAGAATCAGTCATAGCCAGGGGCTCTTGCAGAAGTTACAGACCTAAGCACACATCCATCTCATGCCCCCCCCCTTTGGTTGTGCCCAATAGCAAAGAACACACACACACCACACACACACACACACACACACACACACACACACACACACACTTTGGAGTTAAATACTTCCCACCTGTTGTTTCAGAAGAGCCAAGATAGATGGGAGGTCCCTATTTGGAGGGCATGCCCTGAAATCTCACACCTTTGATGGGGAGTAGTGAAACTAAATAACAAGGGATTAGGAACGCATAAATCAGTGGCCTGCAAATTTCCAAGGGTGCTGGGTCATCTGTTGTCTAGCAGAGGAGTGTCCCAAAGAGGAAGCCACATTGTCATGGCTGAGAAAACTGTTGTTGCTCCATCTGTTTGGCCCAGGAGGAGGTACCAGGTGGCCTCTCATGCGAAGCTAACTGGGAGGAGGTGGTTCTTCTGATCTTTCACCTCCAGATGTGTCTGGCTGTTTCACTTTTCACTCCACCTCAAGTAGACACTCCCTTAAATGCAAAGCAACACACAATCTTTATCTAAACTTTGCACAGAAATAAGAAGAAAAACCTACTACTCTGCCTACTTATTTCTCTCTTTACAACTTTCTTCTCCTGTTTGTTCTCAGCTTTCTCAACAAAGGAGGGCAGCATTCCATCTTTTTTAAAAACAAATACAAACAAACAAAAAACCTACTCTGGTGTGATGTGTTAGTATATTAGTTGCTGTGTCGTATGTCAGAAAACACCATGAAATGCCCCTGCATCATGATGGTTGACTAGGATGCTTTGTCCAAAGTGGGATTAACACAACCATGACTTATTTCCCATGATCCTTTCAACCCCTGACCACTAAATTCCTTTCTGTTCTTTCCCTGAGCCACTTAATGGGACACCTAGTGAGTCACTAAATAGGTTACAGTTTGAGTTTGCTCAATATGAAATAATTTACCCTTTCTATATATGGGACTTCTTAAGCACTAGGGGTGTGTGTATATAGGTACGTGCTTCTGTGTCTATATATATCTTTTCTCTTTAAATTAGTTTGGAAGTTCATTTAACACAGAAGATCTTATCTTCTATTCCTATTTTTCAGGGTGATCACAAATATAGAAATATTGCCAGAGAGGTTGATCTATTCAGGGAATAAACCTAAATATCTCTCTGGGTTTGTTTTTCTTAGCTGTCTGCTTTTTACTATTATTATTAATTTAATTAATTTTAAGTCAGTATGTCATAACTTTCTTTTATCATTCATAGTTTTCCAATAATAATTATGAATTGTTTGTTTTATGGATATGTATTTTCTCTATGTCATCCCCGTACACAGGGGCTGAATTTGAACGTAGCTTGATTGGACCATTTCTGCCTGTATAGCCAAGATATGTTCAGCCTTCCAATTTAATAGTCTTCTCTTAATTTTTTTAAAAACAGTTTCTAACTCTAGCTGGAATTGTGGCGTCTCAACTCTTATTACAAACACACAAAAGCCCACAGGAATTGCTGATGTGTACAGTAAGTTCCGCCCAGTGAAGCGGGTTTCCCCACTGAAACATCAGCCAGAGGCTCTGGAGAACAATGAAAGTGATGACCAAAAGAACCAGAAAGTGGAGTACCAGAAAGGGGGTGAGTCTGACCCGAGCCCCCAGCCTGAAGAGCTCAGCCCCGGAGACGGAGCGGGTGGCCCACCAGGTAAGAGCTCTGAACCCAGCACCTCACTGGGAGAACTGGAGCACTATGACCTCGACATGGATGAGATTCTGGATGTGCCTTACATTAAATCCAGTCAACAGCTTGCCTCCTTTACCAAGGTGACTTCAGAAAAAAGAATTTTGGGTTTATGCACAACCATCAATGGCCTTTCTGGTAAAGCTTGCTCTACAGGAAGTGCTGAGAACTTGCCATCCAACATGGCACCATTTTGTGTTCTTTCTCCCGTGAAAAGTCCTCACTTGAAAAAAGCATCAACTGTCATCCGGGACCAGCACAAGCTCTCCACTGAAGAACCTGAGAGCTCGCCTCCTCTGGCTAAATGTAGCTCTGCCTATGAGCCTGAAAACCAGAGTAAAGACTTCCTAAACAAGACCTTTAGTGATCCACATGGTCGAAAAGTTGAGAAAACAATGCCAGACTGCCAGCTCAGGGCCTTCAATCTGCAATCCTCAGCAGCAGAAACCAAACCAGAAGAGCAGGTCAGTGGCCTGAACTGGACTAGTTCCCAAGGCCCAGAAGAAAGGAGTGAGTATCTGAAAAAAGTAAAAAGCATCTTGAACATCGTTAAAGAAGGACAGATTTCGCTCCTGGTAGGTATAACCTAGTTCAGTATATATATAAATAATCTAGAGACTCCATTTTTATCAGCTCATTAGTAACAGAACGATGGTACATTTGTTTTGGTTCTTGTTTAATCTTTACTTATGGCTTAAGTTGGGAGATGTGACCTTTTGAGTTTTAAAATTAAAAGTTAGGAGGTTAATACAAGGAAAACAAATAGCTATAAAGGAAGTCTTATTTCATTTTAACTTTGCATGAATTCAACTGGAAAAAAGACTCTTAATCTGAAACAAAAACAAAACAAAGAGAGCCCAGCACTTTCTTTAACTTGAATCTTAATGTCTTTCTCTTTTTGCTTTTCAAATGGTTCCCAAAGCTCTCACTTAGTTATTTGTGAGGATGTCAGTTTCTTGCTGATGGTGGACCTGCCAGATATGTGAACAGAGGGTCTTCTGTTTTATCCTGATCATTATTCAGAAGAGTTGGACCAGGATGTTTGAAAAGCTTTTGCAGATAGACGCTTACTCAAGAGCTTGATTGCCCTCTGACCCACATGGAGTTTTTACTTAGTTCCAGCTCTGCATGTCTAGGGAGCATGAAGAAGCTTTTCCAAAGACTCCAGACACAGAGTAGCATGATGTAAGAAACGTCTGTTCTGCTTAGGCTTAGAAAGAGCTAAACTGAAATAGCACTCCATCTGCCCGCATTCTTCTTTTCTGACTTGCAGACTTGGATCAAACAGTAGCAAGTCTGGGCTCATACTAGGATGCTAATTAAAGTCTCATTCAAGAAAATCATGGCATCTTAGCAATGTGGTTTTACTTAATGTAAAGCCATAGATTGATAAGTACAGTGTATGTGGTCTATTGTCACAAGTATTGTTATAATAGCATGATATAATTGAGTAATTTGACCAAATAAAGTAGTAATTTTTTTTCTCCTGAAAATGTCTTTTCCATCTTCCTGGCTCTTCCCCTCTAATTATCTTTGGTACAAACCTTTCTGTCTTTCCTGTGTTTTTATGTTTCCCAAATGCTAACATCTCTCATTCACCCAACAGTCTCTATCAACCAGTTCTTAGTCAGGGAACTGAATTTCACGCAAATGAGAAAACCAAAAGTATGTAGCTCCAGATACCCCCAAGAGGTTGTTCGATGACAGTGACTAGAGATCCCTAGGAGAGAACTAGTAGCAGCAGGCATCATGTACTTTGCGGGCAAAGCAAGTTCTCTACAATTCAAGGCAACGAAAACAAGTGGAGACCAGCAGTCTGTTCATTCAGCGAACTTACAGTAGGGAATTAAAACCCAACCCCGGCCTTCAAGGACTTCACAGTCGAGTGGAGGAGACTGACAGGTTACCATACATGTCATTACAGTTGTTTAGAAAGCCAGCTAAAAGCCTCCACTGCTCACTGGCCCTAGCCCTGTTTCCATGTCTCATGTGAAGATCTGTCTCTTGAGAACTCATGTTCTAAAGCATATTATAACAAAAATTAGCGGCAAGGAGCTCTGGCTTATTCGATCCCCATGGCTGCCACCGGAGCTTCTGGAAGCTCATTTCTTCTTCCCAGTGCCCAGAGCAAAACCCCCACAGCATCTTGTTCTGATTTATTGACTTAGGTTTTCTAATCTATTTGTACAGCCACACCTAGCTGCAGACAATCTAGATAAAATTCATGACGAAAATGGGAACAATCTGTTGCACATTGCCGCATCACAGGGACACGCTGAATGTCTACAGCACCTCACTTCTTTGATGGGAGAAGATTGCCTCAATGAGCGCAACACCGAGAAGTTGACTCCAGCAGGCCTGGCCATCAAGGTGACTGGTTGGGGGCTGGGCCCTCCACAGCTAGAAGTTGGATTTCTATTTTAAAGTCTTTGTGAGCTAAAGTATTGGAAGGGAGAGAGAGGAGAATGATTTGTCAAGTACACAGCAAATGAACATATTGCATTTAGGAGATTAGTCATTTCAGTCACTAGCTTTGAGATTTGGAGACTACATTTTAAATTTTTTATCCAGTGAGGGTAAACTTCAAATAAGCTAACAAAGAGAAAATAAAATGATATGTTGTGGTTCTGAGAACTTTTGTTCTTCATGATGATTGCAATTCAGATTCATAACTACATCTGGATCTATCAGAGACTTTTTTTTTCAATGTGAGAATCATGAGCAGGACAAATGAGGAAAAGGTATGTTTTAAGAGATGCTTTCATCACATCTGAAGTTTAGATGTTTTCAGTATCGAGAGTTGTTTAGACTATGAGTGCCAAGTTCGAGTTTAGCTCTTACAAAGTGTAGTATACTCTCTGTTAAAAACTCCACAAATCAAGGTCAACTGGGAGAGAGTTAAAAGCTAGAAACTGTGATAATAGAGAATATGTACCTTTACAGCACTGCAGTAAGTGCCTCTGAAACATATAATACATCACTAGAAGATTAGCTGTTAAACTAAATTACTTTTGAGATCTTTACAAATAAATATAGAATTCAGTTATATTTATTAAAAAGCCAGAAGTGAAGTTCAGAGAAATGCAGTACATCTATGCTTCTGCCTATGAACTTTGATTTACCTAAGAGTTGTATTTTCTAAAAGTTGAATAATCCTAATTTTTTAAGATAAAATTGTGTTGAAATTGATGAGGGAAACTTGTTAAAGAAACCTACTTGTGAATTCCCTGAGGAATATGTTACATTTGAAAAACAATCAGTTGCTGTCCTACATCTAATATATTTTTTGTGCAAACCTGATTTTTTGCATTATTAATTTGTTGACCATTGAGCTCTTTTATATATTAAAAATATTTTCTGTTTTATTTAATTTTGCTTAATTAGGCAAAGTAACGACTAAGGGATGACTTCAAAAATATTATAGAAAATAATTTTTTCAAATAAAATAAGAAATCTGTGACCCTTGTGGATATCATTTTCCTTTGGTTGTGAATGATAGTATGTCAAATTAAGAGCTAAACTGTAGACAGCCATCATGAAGAAAGAAGTCAAATGTGAAGTTGAAGTTTAATACAATTTAGCTCAATGATGTATACCAAGTTTATCAAGCACTGTGTTAGGTGCTGGCAATGCAGATTTGAATAAATCATAGTCCCTGCTTTCAAGGAGCTGATAGCTGCTGGGTAAGACAGGTAAGTTTTCAGTAAGTACAGAATGGCAGATATAGTGCTATGACTGAGTCCTGTGGGAACACAGGGGTTGGGTATGGTCATTAATAGCCTTTGTTGATGATGAATAAAGTATCCTTGCAATGCCAATGAGTGTTGAGATTTGCCTTACTGTTTTAATGTTTAAAAATATACAGTTCCCATTAGCTCAGCCTATAATCCCAGCACTTTGGGAGGCCAAGGCCAGTGAATTGCCTGAGCCTGTGGGTTCAAGACCCGCCCGGGCAACTTGGCAAGACCTCGTCTCTACAATAAATCAAAAATTAGCCAGGCGTGGTAGCACACGCCTGTAGTTCCAGCTACTTGGAAGACTGAGGCATAAGCATCGCCTGAGCCCAACAGGTCGAGGCTGCAGTGGCCATGAGTGTGCCTGGGTGATGACAGAGTGAGACTCCTACTAAAAAAAAAAGTCTTCCTGACTAATGGTAAATTATTGAATATCTCCTATTAGTGGATGAAAACATCTTTTAAATTAATTTATGTGTCCTAGTGTTTGTTTTGATAGATTAAAAATCTCTGAGTAGGAGGGCATAAAAGAAACTTCGTGACCACTAAGTCAGCCTTCAGCATAAATGCCTTCTGTGGGAACCATATAAAGTGTTTATTCACTCTTCAGTTCCTCTAGTCAATATGATATCAAACAATCAGTGTGCAGACTTCAGCAATTTTTTAAAAATTTTATTTTCATTTGTTTAAATGGAAAAGATTTCAAGCCCATAAGACTCAAAAGCTTTTAGAGATTTAGTCTCAAGCTTTTCCTACTTTACTTCTAGATAGTGATTTGAGAAATGTAAGTTTTCTTCTATTTATTTAATCTAAAATTTACAAAAACAGTAAATTCAAATATTTGATAACAAGTGCCACCCTGTTTAGAATCTGTCCTGGTACATGTTCTACCTCAGTCCCTTCTGTATATTTTGATAAACATTGATGATATAAAGAGAGTTCTAAGAAGTCATCATTCTTCTGTTTTAGGACCTTGTTTTGAGTACCAGTAACCAACTGGTAGTGTTTTACCTCATTAAGCACGGTTTCAAGAGCCCTGCTGTCATTAAAGACAAACTTGGTATACATAGACAGAAGTTGCTCAGATAATATGACTTGGCTGACAGAAAGCAGAGTCAGAGATAAGGTATCAAATTTTAAAAATTACCTGAGAAAAAGGGCTTTGAAGTTATATGAGGACCTAAGAACTTCTCTCCCCTACTCTTAAACTCCTTAAATGGAACCTAATAAATTCTGCCAGCTACATACAGAATTTATTGAGTACTTGTGGGGGACCCAAGAGTAGATACTGTGGGAGTTCAGGGCATTATTGGATTTCCTTTAGAAATGATTAAGCAAAGTAATTGGAAAGAAAGATTTCTAAAAGGTGAGAACAGTCTGTTTTCTAAAATGAGGCCAGCAAAAGAAATTATTTTAGGAGCTAAACAGACTTGCAATAAAATAACCTTAATTTCCTTTTTATTTCTCATTCAATCCTTCTAATTAAGCCCAAAGGCAAAGTGTCAGGCTGGTGATAACATGACTTCAAACACATAACCTTAACTGACATTCCTTTTTAACATGCGAATGACTCCAGGCCCAGAGACTTTGGCAGACAAAAATCTCCTGCTAGAATTTAATAACATTTTTGTTTTCTAGGTATTTTTATTTATGGCAAGTGATACTGTTTTCAAACTCACAGTAGTGATATAATGTTTCCTTCTTCCTTTCTAACAGCATTTAATTTATTTTAAATGTTGCCTTCTTGAATAACTAAACCTAACAGACATCTAATAGAACCCTCTGCCCATCAATAGCAGAACACACATTTTTCTCAAGTGCACATGGAACATTCTCCAGGATAAAACACGTTAGGCTGTAGCACAATTCTCAATAAATTTAAAAGGACTGAAATATAAAGTTATGTCCTTCAAACATAAGAGAATGCAATTAGAAATCAATAACGTAAGGAAATCTGGATGTTCATAAATATGTGAGATTGTGCTCCAAAATCATCAATGTGTCAAAGAAGAAGTCGTAAAGGAAATTAGAAACTATCTGCAGATGGATGGAAAGTAGAATAGAACAAATAAAAACCTACAGGCTGCAGTGAAGTCAGTACTTAGAGGGAGATTTATAACTAGAAATGTCTATATTAAGAGGAGGAAGAGAAGGAAACAAGGAGGAGAAAAATTTCAAATCAATAGCCTACTTTTTCACCTTAGGATATTAGCAAAAGAAGAACAAACTAAATCCAAAGTAAGCTGAAGGAAGGAAATTTGTAAAAATAAATGAAATAGAGAATAGAAGAATAATAGAGAAAATCAACAACACAAAGTTTGGTTCTATGAAAATATTTTGAAAATTTGGTAAACCTTTAATTTAGTTAGCCTGACCAAAAGACAGAAAGAGAGAGAGAAAAGATTTACATTATTAAAATCAGAGGCCGGGCTCAGTAACTGAGCCTGGGATCCCAGCACTTTTGGAGGCCCAAGCGAGTGGATTGCCTGAGCCCATGAGTTTGAGACAAGCCCGGGCAACTTAGCAAGACCTCATCTCTACAATAAATTAAAAAATTAGCCAGGTGTGGTAGCACACGCCTGTAGTTCTGACTACTTGGAAGGCTGAAGTGGAAGGATCACCGGAGCCCAGCAAGTTGATGCTGGGGTGGTCGTGAGTGTGCCACTGCACTCCAGCCTGGGTGACAGAGTGACTCCAACTCAAAAAAAAAAAAAAAACAGAAATGGGCTGGACACAGTAGCTCACACCTGTAATCCCAGCACTTTAGGATGCCAAAGAAGGAGAAATGCTTGAGCCCAAGAGTTCAATACCAGCCCAGCCAACATAGCAAGACCTTGCCTCTTCAAAACAAAAAACAAAAAATTAGTCAGGCATGTGGCATACGTATAGTCCCAGCTATTCAGAAGGCCGAGGTGGAAGGATTGCCTGAGCCCAGAAGGTCAAGGCTGTGGTGAGAAATGATAGTGCCACTGCATTCCAACCTGGGCGACAGAGTTAAACCCCAACTCAAAAAAAAAAAAAAAATTGAAATATTACCTCACACTTCTGTTCTGTGTAAATACCCATTTATAGAAACCATCTTGCCTGTAGTTCCGGCTACTTGGAAGGCTGAGGCGGAAGGATCCCTGGAGCCCAGCAGGTCGAGGCTGCAGTGGCCAGGAGCGTGCCACTGCCCTCCAGCCTGGGTGACAGAGTGAGATTGCAACTCAAAAAAAAAAAAAAAAAAAGAAAGAAACCATCTTGCCTAGTAAATGATCATTATGGTTCTCATTCCTTTCTTCACTCAGAGAGAATAATGTGCATTGTATGAGTGTGTTGGGTTTTTTTAATCGTAGTAGGAAACACTTGGCATACACAAATTGTTACCACCCCAAAGCCTTAAGGGGCTGGGGAAAGAGTGGTTATAAGAACCTGAGATCAAGAAGACTGAACAGAAAGGGCTGGCTGACTTTTGAATTTTTGAGGGACTCAGCAGGCCTATGGCAACCCCATAGAGGGAGACCTCAAACTCATTCCTCTTTCCTGATATCCTGTGCCTGCTCTCCATCAGCAAAACCCAACCAGAAGCCAGGAGACCAGGGAGCCATCTTATACAGTCCAACATCCCAGGAAAAACACCTCAAGAGAATAGAATCTACATGTGAATAGTTGACAGTGCCATTATCCAAATAGGATAAGATAAAGAATGAGCTGATTACCTCCTTGTCTTGCTTTTAGAATAGACTTTTTCCCTTGGGAAGTTAAATTTTAGGATTGTAAAATGAAGAAAGAGAAAATAATTCTGTTTACTAGCTCAAATGCTACCCCCACTGAAGCTTTCCCTGGCTTTCTCCCCACTGTAGCTTTTTTCACCTGTGCTACAATTCCTCACTATGCAAACTAGGAAGGTAATTGAATGTCTCATTTGTCTGACAAAGTTATTGTGAAAATCTAATAGAGCATCTAATAGTAGAAGGTAACAAGTATTGTGTAATAAGTTTACATGCTTTATCTCATTTAATCATCGTAGTAACTTTATGAGGTAGTTACTATTATCCTTGCTAGTTCACAGATGAGGAAATTGAGGATCAGAGAGGGAAAGTCACTTGTCCAAGGTCTTGTAACTAAGTGGCAGATTAAGGATTTAAATCCATTCCAGAGTCAGGGTTTTAAATACTACACACACACACACACACACACACACACACATACACACACATACACATACATATATATATATCATATAGTTATATATATTGTTATAGATACATATGTGTGTGTATATAACTATGTATATATGTCCAACTATAAGTAGTAGAGAAAAATTTCTACAAATATGTATGGGCTGTATTGTAACTTTACATGTCTTGATGACTTTTTGAAACTCTCATGGTGCCTGACAGTCATAGTCCAATAAATGTTTGAAGATGAGAGAGAAGTTTAAGCTTTAAAAAATTTGATAGCTTTTTTAAAATTACGTTTACAAACCACCACAAAAACTCTGAGAAAATCCTACTCTCTTTTCTTTCTGTCTGCCTTTACTATACGCGCCTTCTTTATTTTAAAGATTTTAAAGAACAAGAGAGTTGGTTTTCTTAAAAATGCAAGAGTTGTGGATATTTTACCTTTTGTATCAATAGTTTCATCATTTGTAAGTGATACAAATATTTTTCTTTAAAAAATTTTTTTTGACCATTTTGTTGATTAAAAGATTCACCTAGGCTGGGCTCGGTGGCTCAGCACTTTGGGAGGCCGAAGTGAGTGGATTGCCTGAGCCCGCGGGTTCAAGTCCTACCCTAGGCAACTTGGCGAGACCTTGTCTCTACAATTAAAAAAAAAAAAATTAGCTGGGCATGGTAGCACGCACCTGTAGTTCTGGCTACTTGGAAGGTTAAGGTGGAAGGATTGCCAGAGCCCAGCAGGTCTAGGCTGCAGTGGCCAGAAGCATGCCACTGCACTCCAGGCTGGGTGACAGAGTGAGACTCTGACTCAAAAAAAAACCCCAAAAAACAAACGATTCACCTGGCCACATAGTTAATTGTTTTATTTCAAATAAAATATTTGTTAATTTTTCATTAGCAAATATGCTTTGGGCATTGGAAAATAGTCCCTCTATCTTGTGAACTTTCATTGAGGCATAACTGATTAACTGATAATACCGCATGTCAGCTTGGCTATGGAACAACTGGAATGTTCAGACATTGCTAGTGGTAGTGTAAAGTGGTTAACCACTTTGGAAACCAGTTTCACAGCTTTTCATTAAGTCAACTATATACCTATCATATGACCCAGAAATTTCAGTCCTAGATATTTACCCAGGAGAAATAAAAACATATCTTCACAAAGAAAATTTCTAGCAACTTTATTCATAATATTCCCCAAATGGAAACACTGGAAAATGGAAACAATGTCTATTAGTACCTTACTAGATAAACAAAGTGTGGGATATTGATACGAGGGACTACTTCTCAGCAATAAGAAAGGGATAAACCGGGCTTGGTGGCTCAGCCTGTAATCCCGCGCCTTTGGGAGGCTGAGGTGAGTGGATTGCCTGAGCCCATGGGTTCGAGACCTGCCTGGGTAACTTGGCGAGACCTCATCTCTACAATAAATCAAAAATTAGCCGGGTGTGGTAGCGCAAGCCTGTAGTTCCAGCTACTGGAAGGCTGAGGCGGAAGGATCGCCGGAGCCCAGCAGGTCGAGGCTGCGGTGGCTGGGAGCGGCCATTGCACTCCAGTCTGGGCGACAGAGTGAGACTCCCAACTCAAAAAAAAAGGGATCAATTACTGATACAAGCAGCAGTTTGGATGAATCTCAAAGGCATGCTAAATGAAAGAAGCCAGACAAAAGAGCACACACACTAATCTATTGGGACAGAAATCTTATCAGTGTTGCCTGGGACAAAGGTGAGGGGGAAGAGAGCCAAGGGTACTAGAAAACTTTTGGGGGTGATGGAAATGTTCTATATATCTTGATGGAAGTCGTAGTTATAGAAGTGTAGATATTTGTCAAAATTCACTAGCCAATACAGTTAAAAATGTACATTTTATAGTATGCAAAGTTTACCTACCAAAGTAATTTTAAAATAACTGATTAAAATTATGAAAATGTATTTAAGTAAAAATTATGCTATTAGCAAAGTCAAATCAGAAATATGGTGCATGAGGTGATATCTTTATATTATAAATAAGTTAAGCCAGATATAAAAGCCAAAATTGGTAAAATCACCAACTTTGAAGTATTTTTCAAACCTGAATTACTTTGAACCTTTCTTTCTTTCTTTTTTAAAATCTAGAATGGTCAGTTGGAGTGTGTACGCTGGATGGTGAGCGAAACAGAAGCCATTGCAGAACTGAGTTGTTCTAAGGATTTTCCAAGCCTTATTCATTACGCAGGCTGCTATGGTCAGGTATGAAGGCATTGTTAAGTATCTTTCTTTGTGTGCCATAGGATCCTCCTCCCTTTTTATGTTTAGTCCATCAAAATCCAAGCATAAGAAATCATCAAAAATTTATTCAAATATTTATAAGCAATGATATTCATTGTTGCATTCTTTTAATTTTTAAAAGCTTTAAACAACCTAAATATCCCCAGACAGAATATTGGATAAACAATGAAGCTGCATCTAATGGTGGAGTTTTATGAAAAAATGTTTATTACATAATATTAAATTAAAATATATGACACAAAACTGTTTCTATAATATATAGTACCAATTTTGAATCTTGAGGGGAGAGAAAAAGAAACAGAATGTAAGGTTAAAAAACACTGTTACTACATGCTATCACTCAGGGTGAAATTACAAGTGACTTATCTGTTTTTATTTTTCATTTTTTAGTATTTTCTGATTTTTTCTACAATAAACACATTCAACATTTATCAAAGGAAAAATTATTTTCTTGAGCCCCGTGTTAAAAAGAAAATCTTTGTAAGACATTAGTAAAGGCAGTCTCAATCGATTAAAGATGAGCAAGCACGCTAACCAGGTGGCTCTCAGTTATAATCAATTTCCACATCGGGATATCCCAACGTTAGTAATTGATGTACACAGATCATAGTCTGGTGTAAGCAATAAAAACAATTACTACCTCCCTTTGAGGGGTATGAGCATAAAAATTATCTTTTAAAAAAATTAGAACCACAAAAATACCAATCTCACTCTTAAAATATAATAAAGTCAGCACTGTATTAAAATAGATTTAATCACATTTGTTTGTGGCAAAGAAAATTCCTTCTCTTGCATATAACTGTATCCCTTTGGGCTTTATAAACTTTCCCAGTGGAAGTAACTTGCGGTATTGTCAACAGGAGATTATGCTTCTTCAAGTATGACAATCTCAAACTCAAAACATAGGCTTAAGAATATTACCACAGTCTTTCTTTAGTGGGAGTTATACTTAGCTGATGGTTTATTTTGTGCCATGGTAACTTTAATTCCTATATAAATCATACATAAAAATACATTTTATATATATTACATATACATACCAAAATATTTCTTACGTGTGCCAGGTATCATGCCATTGGACTTTGACTACATTATCTGATTGATTCCTCAAAACAACCCTATAAGATCTTGCTTTTTTATCCCCATTTTATAGATTAGGAGACTGGAGAAAAAAATTAAGTGGTCTAGTGGCTAGTGAGAGTGAAAACTAGATTTCAACTCAAGTCTTCAGGGCCAAATTCTGTTTTGTCTCCATCTGGATAAATAAGTTGCATAGGTTGTTTACTGAGGCATTGATAGAGCTGGAGAAGGCACTTTTATTTTTTTACAATTTTATCTAACAATACACAGCTCACTGAAAAGTGAGCAGCTGCACTAAATTTATAAGATGAAGAAAGGAGCAGACAGAACATTAAAAATTTGTAAAAAGCCTCTATTTTTGAAATATTGTAACTAGTTTGTTTTCTCTGAACAGACTAGTACTTACTAGTCCCATCCACAGTGTCCTAAAAACAACCAATTCTAGTTTATAGGCATTACATATGGGTATCATTTGTTGATTTACAGACACTACCCAACTTATATGATGGCTCAACTTATGATTTTTTGACCTTTTGATGGTGAGGAAGAAATATGTATTCAGTAAAGCCATACTTCAAAGTTTGAATTTTAATCATTTCCCAGGCTAGCAATATGCAGTAGGATATTCTCTCCTGATTCTGGGCAGTGGCCACAAGTCACAGTTCCCAGAGAGTCATGCAATCATGAGGGTGAACACTGATTCTCTGTAGCGTATTAATGCATTTTTTTACTTAATGGTATTTTCAACTTTTGATGGAATTATCGGACCATAACCCTCATGGAAATTAAGAAGTATCTGTACTGGCAAAGGGCAGTGTAGAATTTTAAATTACTAGGAATATTTGATCACTGCTAATCTCCACAAATCATTTTCAGGATAAAACAGAATTTTATTAAATTGTGTGAATAATTATTTCGTGTCCCTGATTTCATTTGCTCACATAAAGCCTATCAAGGAATTTTAGATACCAGCTGAAGGGCTGCCTGCTCTTTCAGTAGAACTTGCCAAAGAAAAGGAGGAAAGGCTGTTCTGAGATTCTAAGTAAATAACTAGACATTCGAGAGTCTTTGTCTTGGGGAAATGTTGCTTATATATGCCAGTTTCTTTATTCAACTCTCACAGCAGGTTTCTCATAATTTTGAAGCTGTTGAGATTGAACAAAAGAAAGTGCCCTTTTTGGGGGGACTAGTTGGGTGATTGTGTGACTTACTTGACTGGGCTAGAGGATAATATGGAAATTAGTGACCTATTTGAAGAGCTATGTCAAACATTTGCTTCATGTTAGTATCAATCTTCAGGTTGTTATTTCAAGCTGATAAGCATTTTTATGGCCTAGAATTCAGCTTTGAGGGGAGCATTCCAGCAGCACCCCTAGGAGAGCATTCCTACCCAAGTGGAAAATGCAGAAGGCCATTAGAACTGAGAATTCTGCCCAGCCATCCTGCATCCGCCGCAGCCACTTATGTAACAGATAACCTGCAGAGATGCTGAACTTGGAACCATTACAAGGCTAATATTTTCACAAGGAAGACTGTTATTGAACAGTTTTCTAATGGATTCTGCACATGCAAGTTTTTCTACATCAAGCAGGCTCTTGAGTGTGTTCTGGCTTTGTTTCTTCAGTAAATACCTCTGGAAAGGATAGTACAGAGGAAAATTCCTCTCTTGGTTTATTTTAGTTGCCCTCTGCCCCTCATATAGATTCTTAAACAATGGGCTCCATTTGACTCCCAATTTGGTCCTTTTTCTTGTAAAAATTACCTTTCAAGACGCCAGTACCACAGGATAGCCAGCAGTTTTTAGTGGTCTCCTGGAGTGATAGATCGTTGGGTGATAGGAATTGATTTTCTTCATCTTGACACATGAAGTCTCAGAGGGTGCAATTATTTCATTGCCTGATTGTACCTAGCAGAACTAGCCATGGGGAGTGTGAAGGTGGATGCCTCAGGGAGACCAGAGGAACAAGCAGGGTGTGTCTTCACATCGGCTTGCTCTGCTGTCCCTTGAGAAAGATGTTGCTAGCAAAACAACTGAGACAGAAGTATCTCAATTCAAAGCTACCGCCTGTGTAACTTGGGCTGTCTTATTCAAACATGAAGGTTCAGATTATTTCATTCAGGCTCACCCTGCATGACTTCCTGCCCTCTGCTGCTTCCAGGCTTCCTCCTGCTCTGCTCTGGTCATTGTTCCGGTGGGCTCCATGATACTTTCAACATCAAACCTATGATTCCTTTTGTTTCTGTATCATTCGTGTGACTTTTGTTAAAGAGAATATTTGCAAAACAATGTGCATCATGGCATTGCTCATTTACAAACAGAACCTTTGCCGACACCGTGTTTATTCTCCTCTTTAAATGTTCAGCCTGATACATATTTTTTAAAGAGCACTTTTTGAAAACATAAAAGGTTCAGCAATTGTTCCAAATGGTCACGAGTGGCAATAGGCATGCTGGTGAGAGGCATGCTTCCACAGGCTGTGGTGGTGGTGGTGTTTTTCCACAATTTACTTTAAAAAGGAGAAATTTTCCCTTGACTTTATGGTTTGACTGTCATGAGGCAGAAATAAGTAGACAGTGCTGAAAGTGCTGCGATTTCAAATGAAAGCAAAATAGAAAAATCTGATTTGCATGCACATCCATCTTTTCTCCAAGTCCTGATCTTGAAAAAGCATAACTGACACAGAGCTCCTCAAACCCACAGACGAACGGACAGTTACCTGTAATTTCTTTGACCCAAGGGGCACAAAGGGAACATTCCCTTTTCAGAAAGCCAGGGGTCATGGAGGAATGGAGCAGTTGTGGACAGTCATACTCAGAAAACAGAAAATACAGTTATGAATTTTCTAAGACAAGCTGTCTTATTTTTAATCCTAGCTCTACTAGCTCCATGGCCTAGGATATTTTTATTTTTAAAAAATGAGAAAATAAGCCGGGATCGGTGGCTCATCGTGTAATCCCGTGCTTTGGAAGGCTGAGGTGAGTGGATTGCCTGAGCCCGCGGGTTCAAGACCCGCCTGGCAACTTGACGAGACCTCATCTCTACAATAAATCAAAAATTAGCCAGGCGTGGTAGTGTGCGCCTGTAGTTCCAGCTACTTGGAAGGCTGAGGCAGAAGGATTGCCGGAGCCCAGCAGATCGAGGCTACGGTGGTTGGGAGTGGCCACTGCACTTCAGTCTGGGTGACAGAGTGAGACTTCAACTCAAAAAAAAAAAAAGAGAAAATAAAATAAAAGGTCTCCTTGGGCCTCTGTTTTTTCATCTGTAAAATGAAGATAATAGAACCTTCCTCATGGGGTTGTTCTGAACACTGAAAAAGCTATATTACCCAGCACATAGTAGGCACTAAATAAATGTTGGCTAATGTGATTGTTGTATCTCATCCAATTTATTGTTCTTTTTGCTATCAGTTTTATTCAATTTATTTATTTTACTATAAGTAAAGTATAAGAGAAACTTGCCAAGGAATTATTTAAGCCATAACTTATTTAATCAATTCCTAGATGCACTTAAAAAAAAAAATGTTACCATCTTTGGCTTTTACATGTATCTTATAACAAATGACATTATGAAATTATTGCTGGCCATTTTTCTTTATATTTTAAGATGTCAGAAACTGGAATGAATCCTGTAATTGATGGCATGTTAGATTTGATGTTCTATGATTGCAGACAAAGCCGACTCCTCTAGAACTTATGATTGTACTACAAACTATGGAGATTTTATTAGTACCAGCAATAATCCTGTGGCATACTTTTCAGTTATGTTTTTTGTTAGACTTTGTCCAGAAAAATCTCATAAATTACATGAATTAATTGCCTCTTTAAACAACTTGTATTGCCCTTGTGAGCACATAAAACACAATGTTAAACCAGGTTACAAAAAACAACAGAAAATCCTCAGAAGAGGAAACTTCTGAGAGAAACCACATGAAGGAAGTTTTTAGTTAGTAGATGAAGACTGAATGGCGTGAGGGAGGTGTGGGTGGATGGATGAAATGCAAGTTGGAGAGGCATTTTGTAAAACAAATAATACAAAGGGTGCCAAGTGTGATGGCTCATGCCTGAAATCCCAACGCTTTGGGAGACCAAGGCTGGAGGACAGTTTGAGGTCAGAAGTTCAAGACCAACTCGAGCAGCATAGCAAGACTCCCATCTCTACAAAAAGTAAAAAAATAAAATAAAAATTTAACTGGGTGAGGTGGTGTGTGCCTGTAGTCCTAGCTACTTTGGAGGATGAGGCATGAGAATCGCTGGAGCCCAGGAGTTCAGACTGCAGTGAGTTATGGTCATGCCACTGCACTCCACTCTAGCCTGAGCAACAGAGTGAGACCCTGTCTCAAAAAAAGGAAGGAAGAACGGAAGGAAGGAAGGAAACCAGAAAAGAAAAGAAGAGTATAAAACAGAAGGGTTTCTTCAACCATGTCCCTGTATTGGATATTCTCTGAAAGTGATACTTATGAGGAAATGAAGATCTGAAGTTACATTTTTCCTTTAACATCTCTTGTCTGTAGACACACACACACACACACACACACACACACACACACACACACACACACATACACAGAGTAGAGGAAATACCCACTAGAGAGCTAAGAGGGAAGGTAGATTCCATTGCATATATATCGAATACACATTTACATTAAAGAGGGCATTCTGAATTGGCGAAAACAACTATACTTGTTTTGACCTCCTTATGAGATATTTGTCAGTTAAGTCACATTTTGAATTGTAGGACTGTGCATCTCCACAGACTTGGAGAATCAGAATCAGAGCAGAATTTCTCTGAGAGCAGATGTTAAATATGCTTTTACCAAAAACCAGGAACTCTAGTCATCTCCATGTCCATCCCAGAAACCCTAAATGTTGGTTCTTAGAAGTCCGGTGTATAGTCAGCCAGTCACTTTGGCGGTACTTCCCTGCACAGCATGACAGAGGAGAGCTCAATGGACAGGCAAATTGCATATCTTCTTATTTTAAATTATTGTACTTATTTTTAAACTGTCCTACACAGAACACAAAACTAGATTTGAGTCCAGAACAAGGCAAAACCTGTCTTGTTCTGAACAAGCAAATAATGGTTCTTTCTTTCTTTAAGTCTTGCATATTGAACTTGGCAGAATCTTTAATTGTAAGGAAGAGTTGTCCATGTCATCATGAGAAAAGAAGGCATGTTATTGTGACAGTACGGATTGACCCTGACTTGGGGAGTCCTCAGGAGCCAGGGCAACCCTTGCCACACACAGACCGTGTATATCTTGTCCTCCTGATTATCAAGCCCCTGCAAAGTCCAAGGCCCTAGATTGTTCCCCAGATTTCTACAAGGGGAAAATCGCTAGTCATATTAAATGCAGTATTCCATTGCCAACAATCTCATTACTAAAGTTAAAACACTGTGATTTCAGTAAACAACATTTTTTTGTGCATGTGGAAAAGACATCCACTGCAATATTTAGTTGGACCTGACAAGAAGCTAGCTATAAAACATAACCAAGTATCTTGAACTCCTCTGAGCTTTACTTGCAGTATCAGAGAATACAGCAGGTCTTTGAATTAACATGGTTTCATTCAATGTCATCTCATTATAACACGATGAGAAGAAAAAAATTGACTCCTGGCCACCGCCACTGGCTGTGTGGAACATACTCGTTTTCCCCATGCCTGGTGGATTTTCTCCAGGTACTCTGGTTTCCTCCTACAACCCAAACAGGTTCACAGGTGGTGAATTGGGGTGTGTGAATTGTCCCATTGAGTGAGTGTGGGGATGTGTGTGAGCACGCCCTGTGATGGGATGGTGTCTTGTCCAGGGCTGGTTCCAGATTTGTGCCCTGAGCTGCTGGCATAGGCTTTGGCCACCCACGAGGAATAATTGGGTAAATAATGACTCACATGTTTTTATTCATCTTTCTTAAATGGATGTATAACTCACATTTACGTCAATGTTTAACATTAGCAGTATTTGTTCTTTTTTTGTGGGGGAGGGGAGCTGTTGGGTGAATTTTTTGTGACCAGAAATATGTCATAGGAACTTAACTCTTGTTTATATCAATGGGCCTACGGTAAAATTGGTTTCATTATGCTTTGTTTTACTTCAAGTCGCAGTTTCCAAGAACCTGTCGACGGCGTTAAGTGAGGACTTATTGTAAAGCATTGTCCTCTCCTTCAGTTTTCTAATTTATAAAATATGGCTGTTTGAATTGGATGACTCCCTAAAATCTCTCCCCTGGTCAGTTTTAAGAGTCCATGATTTAATATCATGGAGCAAACCAAATCACCACAAACTTGAGAATGACCCATTGAAGAGGATTTGTTCCACTTGGGTTAGGGCCATCTTTTTCACTGGTAGAGGCACGACAACCTGCTCTTTTTGCTGTCTCCTTACATCCCAGCCATTGACCTCAAATATGTTCGTTGTGTCTTTTATCCTGAGACACTTCTCATTCAGATTTTTAATGGTTAAGATCATATGATATAATCATCTGTCTCCAAATAAAACTAGCCCAGAATTTTCCCACTACCTAGTTAGGAAAAACAAAGGTAGAGATTTTAACCTCATGCATGTGAAAACATTACCTGCCCTGGCCCGCATATCCACTCCAACTTACTCCAGGTTTTCCTCTAAAGAAGAGAGCTAAGTATATCAGCATATCCTTATCCAGCTTCTAACTTCCAGCCCTAGCCTCCAGACTCTGTTCTGCCTGATTCTCTAGGGACCTTTGAGAGTTCCACTTTCTGGAAGGTCTGTCTGCTTTTGCAGCTAACACTCATCCTGCTTTTCCAGGTACAGTCTTGGTAGTTTGTAGACATTGGTTACTTTTTTCTCTTTTTTCTCTTTAGGGGTCTTATCTCCTGCTTGCTCATTTGGAAAAAGTGTGGAACAAATATTCCTTCTGTCTCTGATGTCTCAGATACCTTCATAAACAGCACCCTGTTCCCCAGCATAAGGGGCGAAACATTAAAGGAGCTGGCTGTTTTTAATCCAACATTCCTTTAGCAGATTAGTTGGCATGTTCAGAAGATGAAGGCAAATTTAATCCAGAAAAGTATAAAAGTTCATGACCAGTCCGAGCAAATAACTGGAAAAAAGAAATCCTTTAAAAGGCTAAGAAAGAAGTTCAAGGCTATTTCAAACACATGATCATCTTTTAAAATGTCAAATTCCACCCACTAAACTTCATGTTGTTGTTTTTACCACTCTCATATTTTTTTAACTTTATATTTAATTCTCCTATTTTAAAACAGTGAAATCCCATCCCCCTGCTTTCTCCAAAGGCCAAACATAACATGAAAATACCACAAAACACTCAGAGGGTAAAATGCAAACAGATTATGACAAAACATTCTGACTGTTCTATGTCTTTGCTTTTGAAAATTTTGAGTTCAGAGCTTTGGGTGCCCTTCCTTTAGGGAAGAGAAAGCTCTACTTTTAAAACACTACCAGCCAGGCTCAGTGGCTCAGCCTATAATCCTGCGCCTTTGGGAGACTGAGGTGAGTGGATTGCCTGAGCCCACGGGTTCAAGACCCGCCTGGGCAGCGAGACCTCATCTCTACAATAAATCAAAAAATCAGCCGGGCGTGGTAGCGCATGCCTGTAATTCCGGCTACTTGGAAGGCTGAGGTGGAAGGATCGCCGGAGCCCAACAGGTCGAGGCTGCGGTGGCTGGGGGTGGCCACTGTACTCCAGTCTGGGTGACAGAGTGAGACTCCAACTCAAAAAATAAATAAAAAAATAAACACTACCAACATTTGGTCAGAACAATCAAGAGGGTTCTGGTTTTATTTCAGTAGGTTATCATATACTTGGCAACTTAAGGTATCGACTCTGTTTGATGGCAGGAGGGGTATGGGAACAGGAAAGCATGGGTAAAGAATTATAAACAGGCCAGGCTTGGTATCTCAGCCTGTTATCCCAGATTTTTGGGAGGCCAAGATGAGTGGATTGTCAGAGCCCACAGGTTCAAGGCCAGCCCAGGCAACTTGATGAGACCTCATTTCTACAATAAATAAAAAATTAGCTGGGCTTGGTAGCGCACACCTGTATTACAGCTACTTGGAAGGCTGAGGCAGAACGATTGCCAGAGCCCAGCAAGTCGACACTGGAGTGGCCACTGCACTCCAGCCTGGGCAACAGAGTGAGACTCCAACTAAAAAAAAAAAAAGAATTATAAACAAATGGTAAGTTAAAAATAGAAGCTAGTTATCTCAATAATCCAAGGTTGTATGATAATATTCTCGAAGCCGACAGACACTGTAACACAGTAGCAGAAGCATTGCTTTGGGAGCCTTGGAATCAAAATACCAGGATCCTACTTCCAACTTTGAATCTGTCTGGCTGTGTGACTTTGAAGAGGTGCTCAAAATTTCTGCAAATATATTTTCCAATATGTAGAATAAATAATTAAAGCGAGCATTTCCAAGTTGTAACTTCCTGCTCTTAAAATTTTCTGTGTGATCAATTCATACTGAATGGGAATTTTTTTTTTTGCTATGATAAGCTCGGTTTTATCTAAGCTTCACAAATTAGAGTATCATTTTCCTCTGTCTTTATATCTGATTCCTCTGCATGATATTTCATTAATTCCAACTGCCTTTGTATTCCTAGGAAAAGATTCTTCTCTGGCTTCTTCAGTTTATGCAAGAACAGGGCATCTCATTGGATGAAGTGGACCAAGATGGCAACAGCGCCGTTCATGTTGCCTCACAGCATGGCTTCCTTGGGTGCATACAGGTACACAGGCCATGCTACATTGCAGAGACGAATGTATCAAGTAATTAAAGTTTTAAATTGTATTCTAAATATTATCATGTCCAGAGAATGTCTGGATTAAATCATCTTTTGATTATAGTAGACAGTAAGGAATTATATTGCTATATTTGTATTTCCAGAAATCCACACAAATGTAGGCATAAATAGACCTAAAAGTTTCTCCTTGGGTGTCACAGGGTTTTAAAGGGGAGTGTTCCTGCTCCCTTAACACTGATCTAAAGCCCCAGTGTTGAGGATGTTAACCATTAAGTATATACCCTCATGTTTTCAAGATACCAAGGAAACCACTACCAGATAGATATCACTTGGTTTCTCAAGTGGCAGACCATTCCTGCCTTGATTAGCATGTCTCTTTTTTTCCAGGTATATGAAAAACAGGACAGATTTTTCAGAATGGATTAAAAGAATTCATAGTAGGGAGTTGTGGGCTAGAGAGAGAATGCTGTGGTTTTCTGCTATAGTAGGGCTGAGTTTCTCAAATGCATTCAAAAAGGCACAGAATTGGTAAGGTAGGATATTGATCCTCTCATCCCTTGGATGGTCCAGCCAAGGCCTTGGTTAAGCCAACCACTTCACCGAACTACTTCCAGTAGCCTCATCTTTTTTACTGCAACTTGCCTTCTAAATATTATCATGTTCAGTATGTGCAATGATGTCAAGAAGTTGGGGAGTAGAGCCACGGAAGACGGGAGGGGGGCTTGATCCCTGCCCCAAGCCACATGATGGGCGCTCCAAGAAGGATCCTCAGAGAGTGTAGTGCTCCTGTGGGAAGAGGAGATGATATCTAATCTCTCAGCTGAAAGCAGAGTTGCAAAAAGCTGAGCCAAACCCAGTACCACCATCAGAACAGCACATGATGTGAGAGCCCAACAGGGGTCTTCAGGAGTCTGGAGTATGTGTGAGCACAAAAATCCAGTAGACCCTTTTACATGGGAAATGTTGAAGGCTATTGATAACAGAACAAAGAGGGAGGGTAGCCGAAGGAGGAGGAGCAGGCAGGAGAGACCTGGCAGTGAGGAGAGGAAAGACTTTGAATTGGAAATGAAGTTTAGATTTGGCCTGGAATCTTTTTTTTGTTTGTTTGTTTGTTTTGGCCTGGAATCTTATTGACAATCATAATTACCAGAATCAGACTGTTCTTATCATTGAAAATGGCCCAACATCTATGGATTTCTTCCCATATGAACCTGAGATGTGTCAAAAGGAAATCGACAATGTATGGTTGAAGGTCATAATTAGAGAAAATACTTTTGCCTCAACAAGTCTATACAGTTCAAAATATGTATATTCGACGTCTACACTTTCCACCTCTAAGAAAGCAGCCCTCTTTTTTGCCTTATATATGTGTTGTTTTCCTATATCACAAGCTCAATGTGTTCATTTATTCATCAGGAACTTACTGAGGTCCTACTGTGTCCAGGATAGACCAAATCTGACACTGAATACTGGACAGGGAATGCGAGTTGCTTAGGAAGGTAGAGCGCACTCGGGAAATGACAGATACTTGGGGAGACTGCAAATATAAAAGTCAGGAGATTAATAAAAACAAAAAGCAGAGGCAACAGCAGAAAGTTTTCTAGAGTGCCTACTCACATGAAGCTGCTCTTTGGGGAGCTAACTTGGAAGGAAATATACCAAATATCTGAAGGTTTTCCTATTAGTATTAGCAAAGCATGCATCTTCTAATTTAAGGCACCAAGTTTTAAAAGAAGTGATAAGAAATCAGAGAGTAATATAGAAAAGAGAAAAATATTGAATCTTACCAGGACGTGAAGAAAGATGAAAGGAGTAGCATTATTTTTTGTGAAAAAAGATAGTTGAATACATACTAAAAACTTCATTATTCCATTGAACAAAATATGCTAATATTTAATAATCTTGAAATAAACTTTTTATTGACTAGTGACTGAAAACCAAAGAAAACCAGCTAAAGTCACTGACTGTTTGAGATTTTAGCTATTTTTCTTTTTAATATGTGAAGAGAGACTGTCTATCTTTTCAGAGCATTCATCACTCCATTCAACATGAATGATATTTTTGGCACTAGATGTCATGGATGTGAAAACTTAGATAACCTTGGAAAAGGGTCTTTCCATTGGGTGTGAGATTTAAAGAAAAAAAAGATAAAGAGACTGAGAGTGAGCTAGGAACCTTATGAGGAGAGGAGGGAACTGAAAAAGAAAAACAATGGAAAGAAAACTTGCAGAGGTCAAAGTCAAAGGGAAGTAAAAACAGTGTGTGTTTTTACTGAGTCTCTCTGAGAGCTCTGAGAGCTCACTACTGACATGGTCTTTGTGACATTCCTGTGAAGTAGGTGGCAATGGTTTTATGGCGAATTGACCTTTCATGGTGAGTGATCATAAACCAAAAGAAAAATGAAGTTCCTTAATGACCGCTGAGTTTAAGTAGTCTAAGAATTTAAATACTACAAATATTGCTTGTGGAAAAATCCTACCCACTACCAAAAAAAATCCAGAGGTTTACAATCTCATCATGATATTGTCATCAGATTGTGGTGGTTGATTAATACTGAACTTTTTGTGGAATCTAATGATATCACAGTATAAACACAAAACAGGTTATGGTTTTGGATTTGTTTTTGTTTTTGTTTTTGTTTTAATTACTGATTTCAACCATACTCCATCAAATCTCTCTCTCCTCCACTAATGATACCTTGGCCAGATTCCATAACTTTCTCCTTTCTTATGACTATTAAAATTTACTGCAAGCTAGTTTAAACTATCAATCTTATTTCTGATTCAAAGCAGTCTCCTTCCAAATTCCTTGAACCTGATGAGACTCAAGGTTCAAGGGACTTGGAATGGAGAGTAGGGCATGCCTGGCTTTTTACATGTCACTTTAGCTCCTATTCTGCTTTGTCTTCTAGGCTGCAGCACTGGGGACAAAGGATAAAAATCAAATGTCTCTTTGCTCACCTGAGAAAGGCATGGCATCTCCCTGAATGTGATCACTTCTTCTCTGGCTGACTGTGTTCACTGATGCCTCTGTGGCAACCTTCAGATGCTGACTCTTGGGGCGGGGGGGGGTGCCATGAGTGGTGTCTTCAGAGGACTCCTTGGGACCTGACGTGGGAGATCTGGTCCAACTTTACCTCCCCTTTCCCTACAGTTTCCTTCACCTGTGGGGGACCCCCTGACGACTGCTGCTGGTGAACCCTCTCTTTCTTAGTGAGGTGATAACAAGCACACACCAAGCTCCCTTCTACACAGTCTGTTCAGTACATGGACATATCCTCACCATGGCATGTGGTGGGATCATGGAATACTCTCTGCCTCCCCACTGTCTGCCATGGGATTTTTCTCCAGTTCTTTCTATTCCTGGCCAGGTAGGCTTGGCAATAGATCAGCAAGTGTATTCCTAAAACCAGTTACCAGAGATCAAAGCCCAAGCAAATAAGAGCAGGTAAAATTCCACTCTCCCCATCTTACAGGCTTCCCGACTTTATGAGTAAGTCTCTTGGAGTCCAACCATCAAAGGGACAAAACACCTCATCACAAGACTGCAGTGCATATCCCTTAAGGGAAAGTATCACATGACAGCAGCAACCACCTCCCCTTCCCAGCCTTCTCCCTCTAAGGGTTGCAGGTGGGCATTGGTAGTAGTAGGATTAGTTCTGCTATGTCTTTGTAGGCTCTGAAGGGAGGTGTGTGATAATCAACTGTGGAAAAATCACTGGGGCCCTCTTTTGTATGTGCTGATACTCCACCCCCCTCCTTCAAGGCCATGGGCATTGGTTTGAGAATAACAGCAACAGCAACAAAAGTTCTATTCAGTATGCTGTCACAGTCATTTAAAAATAATATTTAGAGAGAAGTTCAGATACAATCACATTTCTGCATTTTCTGACAGACCTTGGTTGAATATGGAGCAAATGTCACCATGCAGAACCACGCCGGGGAGAAGCCCTCCCAGAGCGCCGAGCGGCAGGGGCACACCCTGTGTTCTAGGTACCTGGTGGTGGTGGAGACCTGCATGTCACTGGCCTCTCAGGTGGTGAAGTTAACCAAGCAGCTAAAGGAGTAAGTGGCCAATTGGTTCCATGAGAACAAAGTCTGACTCATTACAGTTGGACTTAGATCTCAGCCAAGTGCTGTGGGTAAGCTCCCTTCTTTCCAATCTTGCAGGGAATTCCTAGCGTTCTGTTCATCTTCTCTTCTTCCTCCATCCCAAGTCCTCATAGCCAGGGTTCATGCTGAAGATGCCATCTCTGTGGAGGCAAAATGACACTTAAACAACAAAGTGCAGAGCAGGTATTCTAAGCAGGGAATTTAAGTGGACAGTGGACGAGGAGAGGGAACTCTGTGTTCACGTCTCAGAGTCAGATTATACAGCAGGACGCTGAAAGCACATAGAGGCATCATCTCCAGACTTCTGTCCTTAATATTCTAGGAAATCATAAAGAGCATGAGAGAGAGAGAAAAGGGCTAAAGATAAGCCAGTTTCTCTGTTTTCTCAAGAAGAAAAATGTGTTGGAGAAATTATAGATGAATAACCTGATGACCATCACCAGAAAATTTATTATAAAACTTAAACAGATGATTCATAAATCCTCAGAATATAAAATAGTGTTCAATCAGTATGAAGTTACTTAAAACACTCTATGATTGACTAAAGTCTGTTCTTTCCTTGATAAGATTTTTTAACTGGTACACAGTGCATATCTGGATGTTAGGAAAGTGTTTCAGGGAGGTTGTCATGATCTGCTTACAGAAAGAGGCCCAGATGAGAGTTCATCAGGTAGGTCTCTAGCAAGCTGAAGAATTAAGGTGCTAACTCCCACCTAAGGGCACCATGGTCAGTCCTTCAAAGGCATACTGACCAAATTACAGTGGCCATGTTGGGGAGGTTTCCCTGAAAACTGGAATCAGTATTCAAAGTAATGTTGACAGGTGGACAGATAAGGGGGATAAACCTTAAAAATTAAATTTTAGAGGGAAAATATAAAGGCTTAACTTTAAGTTATAAATATGTGTGTCTGTCCAGCTATTGACCACAGCCCATTTTTTTTAAAAGCTCTTCATTGTGGGTAAAAGACCTTCATAGATTATAATTTATGCAGCAGTGTGAAGGCCTTGGATACTCTGACTTTTCTCAAGCTTACAGAAACCTCCCTTATCTCTCTTCTTCCACACTTTTTTCTTAGAGCTATAGGTCTCTGTGTTCCTCCACCTCTCCCCTTGCCAATACCTAGAATAATCTCTTTAATGAGTTTAGACTTTTACCAGAAAAAAATGAAATAAAATTTAAAACTCAAAAAATAAAAGTGTTACTGCCAACCATCCTCTACCCAGTTATGCAAAACTTCCTTGGGCCAGGTAAGCTAGGTGTACTTAAAGGTCTCAGTGTAATTGAAGTGAAAATTTGCACAAATTAGCAACTCAATAAGTTATCTTCCCACAATGAACATACTTGGTCATATGCCTTTATGTACATGTATAGATATTTCTAAAAATAATTTCCTAGAAAAGGGATTGCTAAAACAAAAAGCATACATTTTTAAAATGTGGGTATTTGTTAACTAATACCTTTGCAAAAATGCTGTACCAGTGTCTACTCCCTCTAGTAATATATGGATGTATCCATAAAGAAGAACTTTATAATGATCTATTAGAATGTTTTCCCTAAAAGTTCATATTCAGAGAAAAGATTACAAAACCTTCTCAGTCTCTTCTCTCTCTTTAGCATGGAATCTAAAGTTTTCATGAACTACAATAGCTGTGTTATTGGTGAGCTGCTCAAGGTCAGGGTCTTGGCTACTCACTCTGCTGATGATCCTGAGATAAAATACACATCTATGCTAATAGACAACAGTCCTTCAGTTGTCTTCAAAGCAGAATGCTGTACACAGCTGTAGTTGGGCCAATGACAATATAAAATATGGGGGGTTATGTTGAATACTCTGGTCTTTTACTTACTGTGTGTCTCAGTGAAGTTGGCAAATCTAGAAAGAAATGGAGAAATCCACTTGATACAGCCAGAGTACACTGTGCCTTCAGACTCCCAAGTACCAAACCATAGACAAGGACAGGAGAGAGAATGGAAAACACTGGTTTCTTTGGTCCAAAATTCTGAGGGGAGACAGTCTAGCATTCCTTTTTCAACTTTCACCAACTCTTCAGAGTTAATAAACATAGTTATTATTTAGAAATAGCAACTTTCATCTCTACCGAAGTCCTAATCAACAAGCCTAGATATTATGGGTTAAATTGTGTCCCACAAAAAGAAAGATAGGTTGAAATTCTAACTCATAGTGCCTCAGAATGTGATCTAATTTGGAAACAGGGTCTTTACAGAGGTAATCAAGTTAAAATGAGGTTATGAGGGTAGTTCTTAATCCAAGATGACCAGTGTCCTTATAAGAGGAGAAAATTTAGACACAGACATGTATACAAGGAGAACACCATGTGGATGTGAAGGTAGAGGTCAAGATGATGCATCTGCAAACCAAGGACTGTAAAAGACTGCCAATAAGCCACCAGAAACTAGGAGAGAGGCACAGAACAGATTCTTCCTTACAGACCTCAGAAGGAACCAACCTTGCTGGCACCCTAATCTCAGACTTCTAGCTTCCAGAATAAGAATAAATTTCTGTTATTTTAAGCAACTCAGTCTGTGATACTTTGGTATGACATCCCTAGCAAACTAATATGGTAGGCATATGCTCATATATTTTCTTTCTATTATTAAATGATTAGTCCTTTCTACGAGCTTCTTTAGAATCTAGAGAATGGAGCCTTTCTTCTCCATTCATACCTGAGATTCCAGTCATCAGTCAACCCATGTGCCCCAAATACTTTTTTTGACTGTCATAAGTAACTTTAAGATATCTAATTAACCCTTTAAAAGTGAGTTATAACCTTTGTTCATCTGTTTTGAACCTCAATAAATATTTTTTTTTCTTTTAAATACCAACTGGCAAAGTGGGAAACATAATGTTCTAATGTAGTTTTGGTTTTTATTCTATCATTAGACTCAGATTGGCAAATTATAGATTTTGGGCCAAATTCAACCCACCACCTGATTTTTGTATATAAAGTTTTATTGGAACACAGCCACACACTTTCATTTATGTAGTGCATAGGGCTGATTTTATGCTGCAAAAGCAGAGTCATAATGAAAGAAATTGTATGGCTCATAGCCTAAATTATTTACTGTCAAGCCCTTTAAAAACAAGTTTGCTGGTTCCTGCTTTAGATAATAAAATTTTAATAGGTGAGTCTGGCAGAATGAGTGAGATAAAATGAGATCACAGACTTCTCTGGTCTTAGGGATGAAATGTTAGGGAAAAAAACTGACTATTCTTAAGAAAAACAAAGAGAGTGCTTGGGACTTATGGAAGGGCATTATCAGAATCTGCTCTCACAGAGTTAGATTGAGGCAGCCAACAATTTTTGAGTATATGCAGTGACACTCAGCAAGGAGTGTCAAGCCAGAAACTAAAGTATGGTGGTCATTTTAAGAAAACTTATGACACTTTTTCAGTTCCTTGTCCTGGCTCATGAGAACTGCTATCATTTTTATTTATCATTTTTTTTTTGCTAATTGTATTAGTTTTCTATTTCTCTGAACAAACTACCACAAAACTAGTGGCTTAAAACAACACAAGTTTATCTTACAATTCTGTGGGTCAAGCCAGCCAGAATTGTCCCAGCTACTCAGGAGGCTAAGTGGGGAAGAGCCCTTGAGCCAAGGAATTCAGGTTCAGTCAGGACAATGTAGCAAGACCCTGTATCTAAAAAATTAATTATTATTTTTTTTAAATTCAAACAATGTAGAAACAATACATAACATGTTGGAGTATATCATTCCAGTTTTTTTCTATTGTTTTTTTCCTGTGTGTGTATGTATGTACACATAGATATATATACAAAGAGAGGGAGGGAGGGAAAGGAGAGAGTTTTCTTAAAAACGAGCTTAAAGATGTTCCTCAATTTGTGATAGGGTTACATCCCAATAGACCTATCAGAAGTTGAAAATGTAGTAAATCAAAAATACATTTAATGCCCCTAACCTACCAAACTTTATAGCTTAGCCTAGCCTACCTTAAACGTACTCAGAACACTTACATTAGCCTACAGTTAGGAAAATCATCTAACATAAAGCGTATTTTATAATAGTGTTGAATATCTCATGTAATGTATTCAGCACTGTACAGAAAGTGAAACACAGATGGTTGTTTGAGTACTCAAGGTAACCGTTCTATTGAATGTGTATCTCTTTCACCTTATCGTAAAGTTGAAAAACTGTTAAGTTGAACCATAGCAAGTTGGAGACTGTCTGTATATTGCACATAGTATTTTGTAGTTTCCTTTTTTATTTAAGGAAAGTATACTTTATATATACACCCTACATATATACTTCTATATGCAAACATATACTTCATATATATCTTATATATATACTTATATAGAAAAGTATACTTCATACATATGTGTTTATATGGAAATACATATATATATATAATACACATATATTAGGGAAACCTTTTCTGTCTATATTTAAGTATGTTGTCATATTTACTATCTGCCATTATAGAAATAATTATAATTTGTTTACTCTTACTTATTGATAAAAAGATTAAATTAAGATTATTGATTAAGTTTCTTACAGTTTATTTTTAACTAATATTAATAATAAACATATTTTGGAGTACTTTTGATTATTTCCTCAGGAAAACGCCTGAATGGTAAGGATGAAGATTATGCATTTTTTTAAGATTTTTGAATTTATTGCACCTTACTACAAATTACTATGAAAAAATTTATACTGCCTAATTTATAGCAGTAGCCATGTGTCAGAGAACTTATGTGTTTTTCTTGTTTTCTCCAGACAGACAGTGGAACGTGTCACATTGCAGAACCAACTCCAACAACTTCTAGAGGCCCAGAAATCAGAGGGCAAGTCACTCCCTTCTTCACCCAGGTAATACAAGGCACGCTGGTGTTTAGAGTTCCTAAGTATCTTAAATTTCTGAGCTTTCTTTTGGCCTTCCTTTAATATCTTTTAAAAAGATGAGAACAAAACACATCTAATTCTTATAAAGATGAATAAAATGAAAAGAGTGGAAAAAGGCACTCGATCTAGGATCTGAAAGCCTGGGCTCATCTCTGGTTCTGCCATTTCTTCATTCCACAATAATAAACAAGTCACTTGCTCTTTTGTTACAACTGAGTCTTCCAATTATTCACCTGTGAAGCGGAAATAAAGCTATATAGCTTGATAATGTTGTTGAAAATAGGACTAACTAAGAAAAGGTATGCAAAGTGAATGTGTAAACAGTAGAATGATAAACAGATTTAGTAATCAAAGTATTTATAGCATAACATATGAAGTATGCTATACTTTGGTTATGGCTGCTACTGTGGAGTATTGGCATATGGTTGAAAAGGCAGTAAGTGATAATTCTTACTCCATTCTTACTTATGTGAAAGTTATTAGTGGCAGCAAAGGTCATGCAGTGACTTGTGGCTGAGTCATTTTAACCCAGTAAGAAATCATCTCATCTGTCCTTCATCCTCTTTCCAGTTCACCATCCTCACCCGCTTCCAGAAAGTCCCAATGGAAATCTCCAGAAGCAGATGATGAGTCTGTAGCCAAAAGCAAATCAGGAGTCCAAGAGGGGATTCAGGTTCTTGGAAGCCTGTCAGCCACCAGCCGGGCTAGAACCAAAGCAAAAGATGAAGATTCTGATAAAATTCTACGCCAGCTATTGGGAAAAGAAATCTCAGAGAATGTCTGCACCCAGGAAAAGCTGTCCTTGGAATTCCAGGATGCTCAGTCTTCCTCAAGAAATTCAAAAAAGATCCCTCTGGAAAAGAGAGAACTGAAGTTAGCCAGGCTAAGGCAGCTGATGCAGAGATCACTAAGTGAGTCCGACACAGACTCCAATAACTCTGAGGACCCTAAAAACACCCCCGTGAGAAAGGTTGACAGGCCCAGGCCACAGCCCATTGTAGAAAGCGTGGAGAGTATGGACAGCGCAGAAAGCTTACACTTGATGATAAAGAAACATACTTTGGCATCAGGAGGACGTAGATTTCCTTTTAGCATCAAGGCCTCCAAACCTCTGGATGGCCATAGCCCATCCCCCACCTCAGAGAGCAGCGAACCAGACTTGGAATCCCAGTATCCAGGCCCAGGGAATAGTCCTCCAAGCCAGCCCTCGGGAGATACCACTCAGCCCAGCCCTGACAGTACTGCTGCTCAGAAAGTTGCCACAAGTCCCAAGAGTGCCCTCAAATCTCCATCCTCCAAGCGCCGGACATCTCAAAACTCAAAACTCAGAGTTACTTTTGAGGAGCCTGTGGTGCAAATGGAGCAACCTAGCCCTGAACTAAACGGAGAAAAAGACAAAGATAAGGGCAGGACTCTCCAGCGGACCTCCACAAGTAGCGAATCAGGGGATCAATTGAAAAGGCCTTTTGGAACCTTTCGATCCATCATGGAGACACTAAGTGGCAACCAGAACAATAATAATAACTATCAGGGAGCCAACCAGCTGAAGACCTCTACATTACCCTTAACCTCACTTGGAAGGAAAACAACAGATGCCAAGGGAAACCCTGCGAGCTCTACTAGCAAAGGAAAGAATAAGGCAGTGAGTGCTGTTTGGTTCCTTCCCTTGATTGATTATGTTGTTCCTAACACTACAGATTGTTGATCTATGCCATCTTGAGGGAAGCCCCAGAAAAATTCCAAAGGGATGCATGAAAAGCCAAATTCGTGTTTCTAATGAGACATGTCATGTTATCGTGCATACCTCTTGGTATTCCCTCGGAAAAAATACTCTAGCATAGAAGAGTAAATAAGTCACAAGAGATTATATTCTGCTTTCTCAATTTCCATAATCTCTGGGTATTACGGGTCCTAGAGTTGTAGGCATTTCTACAAGATGAAATCATCAACCCATGCAGAATCAACTCCTTCACTGGCTCTGATTTGGTCTCAAGGAAGAGTTTATTCTTTTCATGTGACTGGATAGTTTATTCTTAGGCCCAATTAAAGAGCACATAAATCTAATATTACTAAGAATTTAACTTCTCAACTTTGAGATGACCTTTGAAATGAATACACCACAGGGACTGCCACATAAGCATTTTACAACACAGACCCCTAAATGTTGATTGGTGCCTATAGGAGTCTGAAGTGCTTGCCAGTCCACAGGGGATGGCAGAGTGTACCATGAACTGCATTTTATAATTACATTTATTGGAAACCCATGCTCTATAATCTGTGGTTTATATCCAGTGAATAGGAGATATGAACATCTCTTTAGGCAATGTTTCCTGCGTGCTCTGTGCTTCCCATGCCATCAAAAAACAGCATCACAGCCAAAAAGCAAAACTCTTTGTGAAATGGAATTACCCAGATCATCCACTATGCAGTCTAGATAAGACACCCTGTGAGTGTCAGAATCTTCATAACTTATTATTTGCTATAACATTAAAATCCCATTACAGTGAGGTCAAAGAATTGCCCAAATTCAAAGAACTTTCCCAAATCAAGTTTTAGTTAGTATTTCTCTAATTAATAAACACCAATTTTAAAATTGCATATCAATTTCCTCTGTAAATTGTCATTGTTATAAAGGACCTTATCATATATTCATTTCAGCTAGAAAAGGCACACTTTTTCCCATGGCACCAGACCTTCTGGATTAAATATGTCAAAACTTAAATTGCTCCAATAAAACTTTTCCAAGTAAGTTAATGGGTTCTGTCACTCCATAGTGAAAGAATCACCATCTCAATAGTTGCCCGTGTTCCTTATACTAAGCTACTGTCCTCTAATCTATTAATATCTCCCGCATGCTCTGTGTGTATTGGATCTTGTGCGTGTGCCAAGCTTGTTGCATGTTTTCAAATGATTTTTAATTGCACCTCTCTAGGGGATGTACAGCAGCTGCATCAATCTTTCCTCTAATACCCTGGCTGAAGAGCATCTGCGTAACTATGCACGGTACGTTGTGCTAAGAGGTGCATTGTGGGGCATTGCCATGCCTTTGCTTTGAATTGCATGAGCTTTTAAATCATGGATCTGGGGTACATTTCAGCAGGGGATGATGCCAAGGGAGAAGAAAATTACAACTCTTCCCCCAGATAAAAGCAGGCACAGACAAAATAGTAACTAGATCTTAGAAAGATAGCCGATTCTCCCGTGAAGGACTTTATTCCAGCATCTGCCAGAAGAATCTACTCAGTTCACAAACTTGCTGTGTTTCCTAACTGACTTTGGCTTTCATTCTTTGTTTTAATGGAGTCAAATACCAAGTAAGTATTGAAATTAAATTTCCTGTCATGATAGAATGAGTCAGCCTTCCGATCAGAATCAGAGCTTTGAAACAGAGCTGGAGTTTTATTTTGGTGCTGATCATCGACTGAAAGCTCCTTTCGTCACCACTCTGCTGATCTCAGGAGAAGCCAGGCCTTACTGTTTTAAAATCTGTCTAGCTTAGCATGAACCATGATTCCAGCCCATGAGCCAGTCTTATGACCACCAGTAAAACAAGGGTTTTTCGCAAACGTAATGTTTGCAGTTCAAAATGCACAAACTGTGTAACAGAAGGGGGAAGATCAGGTCTCCAGTGACTAGGGCACCTCCTTGGACAAAATCCTTCTGCAGCACAACTTTCTTTCCCCCATAGGAATATGCTCAACTTCCTGACAAGGCAGGAAATAACAGAAGAAAACAGAGAGCAGCGGAAGCAGAGTTAAAATCAATGTCCCTTAAGTGATTTATTTCAGAAGAGTTAAACCCCCAAGCCCATTTTAAAAGATGATCGCTTTTGAGTCATTTAAATTCACTGAAAAATTACAACATGTCATTCAGCACTTTTCCAAAATCTTTCAAGGAAAGTGTGTGTGACAGGGTGGGAGAGGGAGAAGTCGGTGTGATATGGGTGTGTGTATATGTATTGTAGTATAAATTTTAGTTCAGAACAATAAGGTGTAAGAAAGTCACTCTCTTTTGTTCCTCTTCCAAATCAGATTTAATCTGCTCTAGGTCTTTGTACAAGCTGTAGGGAAATTAAATCTCAGTCATTTAAGGGAATGCCCCTTGGGGTCTCATTAATTCAGTATGTTAAAGGAAGAGCCTTAAAGCTTCAATACTTACTGATCACCAGTGGTCTGCTTAGGTAAGGCTCATATGTTGCCCGAAACCAGGAGTCTGGACTGCTTCCGGCCACACTGGCCAGTGCTGAGAGCCCAGTGCCTGGGAAGGGAAGGGAACCAGGAAAAAACCCTTGGCATTAGCCCACCTCTGTTTCTCCGAACCTAGGTTCTCTGCCCCTATATCCCTCTCTGTCCTCATCTCAGGATGGATGTGTCTTCTGGGGTCTGAAAAATTCTTGTTTTTCTCCTTAAACAGAAGTTTCCAGCAATACCCCGAGGCAGGGGAGCACGGAGACTTGGCAAACTCCTTGAGAGGGGAAAGGAGAATACTTCTCCTTTCTTCCAGGCTCCCACAGCAACTGGGAACAAGACAATTAGTGTCATAGTAGATTCTTATGCCAGAAATAGTTCATTCTCTCTTTTCCCAAGCAAGAGAAAAAAGCTGAGCAACCTGCAATAATAGGATTACAAAAATCTGAGCACACAATGAGGTTATAGGACTACTCAGTTATCTGCTGCTAGGTTAATGCTTTCTCATGCAATTCTTGCCTGTAATCCCAGCACTTTGAGAGGCCGAGACAGGAGGATCACTTGAGACCAGGAGTTCGAGACCAACCTAGGCAACAAAGCAAGATCCCCGTCTCTACAAAAAAAGAAAAATGAGCCAGATCTTGTGGTGCATGCCTGTAGTCCCAACTACTTGGGATGCTGAAGCAGAAGGCTGTGATAAGCCATTATCATGCCACTACACTCCAGCTTGGGCATCAGAGAGAGACCCTGTCCAAAAAAACAAGTTCTTCTGAAAGCTCAGTTTCTCAGTTTTGAATCCATCAGATATAATGGCTTTATTTATTAACAGAGTTTATTTTCAACAATAAACACTTAGAAACTCAAAAATATAAAGATTCAGTGTATTTAAATAAGCACTTTGACTCCTTCCTCTCACTGCCCCATAAATTACCCTACATTTTATCATGATTTTAGTTTGGCATGTGTTTCCATAGAAAGTAGAAATCCTAGTTCTTACATGCTAGAGAGGAGAGGTTTCTCTGATTCACTCATAATCACACAGAGGCAGAGAGAATTGGCCTGGTTCTCTCCTTAGATAACACAAGGATGCATCGCTCTAGCTGAGATAAAGATTCCACTGAGAAATGAAGACTGTAGTGTGAATGTGGGCCTGAAAAACACCTAGTGCCTGCCTCATTCTGCCTATGGGACTTCTCTGCAAGAAGGAAAGAAACCCAAGTATTCATCTATCAGCAGTGACTTCAAATCTTGGGCCAAGAATTTTCTTGAAGGCCTAATGGCCCCTCAGTGGTAGCAAGGATTTCCCAGGATCGTATGCTTGTGGAAACCAATGGCAGTCATTAGGTTTGAGTTGGCGTCAAACATTATTGCCACTAAATGACCCTAACATACATTTCCATCCTTACTGAAAAAGTGGGCAGTGAATCCCATTTCCAGGGATACACTGGAATTCCACTTTAGTTCCTAAAAAATTTTTATTTTTCCTGGTAAAGGAAAAACCAGGACAATAAATATAACATTTTAAAGAATGTCAGCTCTGTTAGGGATTCTGTTTGCTATTTGTTTTTCCAAATTGGTCACAGCTTGATAGCAAAGAATCTAAATTCCTTTTCAATGCCCTTTAAAAATAGACTCAACTCTATTACTTTGAGCAGCTTTCCCAGTGTGATTCAACTACAGAGAATAACTTGCTTAATAACAAGCAGATTTATCTTTATCTTACAAAAGACAATAGTTGTTTTTAAGTTTTTACAACTCCAAGAAAATTTTTGCAATTATGTGTCTTAAAATGCCAATGAAACATCCATTTCCCAGAATTTAAGTCCATTTGAGATCTATAACACATCAAGTGAGCATTGATTCTAGTTACAGATAGGCAGAAGGCATTAACCCCTGGCCATCACCAGTAACACCCTCTCTGACCACGGTTGCCTGAGGATTTAGCATCAGGGAACCCCTAATCCTAGCACCTGCATTGGCGTAGACTCCTTAAAAAGACATGAAGCAATAAACACCATCAGTGTGGGTTTTACTGCCAAGGAATTAGCCACACTGGGAACTGTATATCTGGAGCCAAGAGCAAGCATCAAATATTTTGCATAGATCTCTGGGTTGTTCAACAGCCTTCAAAAATAGCGATCTGTTTAGCTCATGGTGAGGTGATATCTGCTATGGCAGTGATTACTTACTGTGCTCAGTGGAGGGTCAGAGTTTAGGGTACCATTCCCCCACCTCCAGCACACACAAACATACATTTCCATCCTGACTGACAGGATGTCATACTAAACAGAAAAGGGAGCAAAGAGATGGGAGACATGAAGGTAAGGCCCTGGCTAAAATCTACCCCCAACCATAGTATTATCTTCAGCCCTATTGAATAGCATTTCCAGAATCATGATGGAAAAATGTAGTCAGGCACAAAAAGGAGTCCCTGATGCTGCTGAACAAATGTGTCCTTGCCACAATTTCTCTGTATATAATCAAATAACCACATATTCATCTTGCCTTAATTTTTTGGCCTTCACATTATTTGTAACCACATGCTTCATTCTTAAGGGGATAATAATATAATTGCTCAGTCACGTAGGTGTGTTACCAAGCTATCTGGGTATATATTGAGTACATCATTCTAGAGACAGATGGACTCTTACCAATGTAACAATCCAAAAGAGTTAAAATCCTGATGTTAAAAAGGAATTTAGTAAAGTAGTTGACACTGTAGACATTCGAGTTTCTGCTTAGAAACCGTAGTTTCAATTTTAAGCCCTGACTTGAAGTATATTTTTCTGTTTCCGTTTCTAACCTACCAGCACTGGGCTCCAGGGCAAACCAGCAGGAGTTGAAAGGCAACAGCAAGGTACCTGAGGTGGGTGATGGCCTCTGCTCCAGAAACTCCTAGAACTGTGCTGCCCCTCCCCACGCCCCATGCTTCCCCAGGTTCTCTCTCTCCCCTACTCCCCATGCATCCTCAGGTGTTCTGTGCTCCCTGAACAACTCCTGTCCTGCTCACCCCTACTTCAACCTCCCCTAGGGTTCAAATTAGTTTCAGAAAGAAAACCCTTATTTCATACTAAAGCTTTATGCCTATAACTTGGAAGAGAGAAGGAAACTCTAATCTTGAACCATTTCTCCACATGAATTAAGTGACAGTTTGGGGCCACATTTTGGGGTTGTCACTGACCTCAATGCATAGGATAATGATAGGGAATTATCTGTTAATAAGGTAGATTCTTTTGAATAAAGAGAAATGCCCATGTTGTGGGAAATAGTTAAAAAGATTGTATCTTTCCAGTATCTAAGCACAACTCTTTATAAAGGCTGGCAGAATTCCCAAGATTAATACAAGTATGATTAATAAATGAGGTTTCTTTTCATAAACTCCTTACTTACTCTGGGAAAAGGAAAAAACAGACTACACCACAAAAAGACAGAGAAAGTTTAGTATCAAAGTATGAGCAACTGATACATTTAGTATCAAAGTATGATGAAATAGAAAAAAACTATTGCAAAGATATCTTACAAAGATGTAATAAATTGCTGCCCTAGGAAAGCCGGCAAAGAACATGTAGAACTTGTGAACACTCACAAACCAACAGAAAGAGGGTACAGAGAAGAGACCTGCCTTAGAAACCAAAATCATACCACTGGACATATTCTTTTCAGCAAACTAATCCTGGTTTGAGGGGAGTCAGAACAAACAACTGAATTCTCCACCTCCACACTCCTTTCCTCATTCCCAAAAGTCCAGTTTTGAATTGTGTGACCTCAAGACAAATACATGTTCTATTAGTGTCATATTTGCACCACCTGTCTGCC